ATGACAGATAACAGTGATGATAACTCACTGTTTTCAAATATTCCTCCATTTTTCCTAACTCCTGCGGATGCTTATCCATGTACGAAACAAGCAACGATGTGTGCTTATCAAACTGAAAAGAAGTCGAACGTGCAACGAAGAACACAGCAATTTTCGAGAAATTACCGATGGTAAGTCCCGAACCACATTATCAACTAGAATCTGCAATTCTGATCGACCAGTACCATTGACAGCGTTTGCCTTGGGCAGTACAGGTGGTTCAATGACCTAAGAACACATGATATACCAGAAAGCGACTTAACATCAATCCAAAGCATAAAAAGGATAAAGAAGACTAACAGCTCCAGGTAATGAGACTCCCCATCCAGAAGGATTGATTTTTTGGCATTCTGCAAAGCAAGCTTGCATGTGCTGCAGGAAATTGACATTCGGTCTCGGAAATCGCTTTAGTCGCTCCAGCAGCTGTAAACATAGAGAGTCGAATAAATACGCTCATAATCAAAAACTAACCGACGGCCCCATAACAATCATCGCTTGTTCCGTGCACATTTCAACAGCGCGGATGCCTTCGCGAAAAGCGTTGTTCAGTTCAATTTTCTGTACAAAAAAATAATAAGTCATAACACTAAATTATTTCAGAAAAATTTACCGGGTAAATTTGTTCGTAAAACCTGTTGGCCGCCCTGATGTAGAGGTCATTATCAATAGCAGTTTTGTGCTTTGACATAGTATCTGCCCATTTATAGAGGCACTAAACATAAAGTAATAAATAAACAATGAAATAACTGGAAATTAGAGGAAACTGAGAAAAACTATTGCTCACTTTTGTGAATAGCAGAGCCGCCTCATCAGGATCCTCTAATAAACTAGTCATAAGGCACCGCGTACAAGCTGCGAAGAACGTTGTACGTTCGACTCGAAGGCACAGCCGTATTATAAGCGCATTCAAAGTACGACCGAACTGAAAAGGTAAATGAGAGAAGTCAAAAATTTAAGTTAACCGTTCTCACAATTACATCAAGGAAGATAGAAAAAAAATAATTAAAAAAATACACGAGTTAAAAAACTAAATAATACCCTAGAATTCGAAAATCGAATATTTATAGTAGGGAAAGCCACACTGCAAACAGCATTTCTTGCGCAAACTCACATGAACTGAGTCTGGCATAGAAGCAAGAGCTGGATCTTGAATCTTCAGTAGAATATGGACAAGTTCCCATAACATTCCATTGGTAGCGTCTTCGCCTATGTTTAATCGTGCAAATTTGTCCGTAGATGCGGTAAGCTGCAATGACAATTTCTTGAAAAGTTCCGCAAAGTGCTGCATTAAATCATAAAAATTCCTTATTTTAGTCAAAAGATGATACGCCAATGATCATGAGCACTTTTAAAACGAACTGACTCGAGCTGGGAAGTTCTCACTATCGATCATGATTTTAGAAAAAAA